TATACAAAATTCAACTCAAGATGGATCAAAGACTTAAATCTAAGACCTGAAACCATAAAAATTCTAGAAAATAACATCGGAAAAACTCTTCTAGACATTGGCTTAGGCAAAGAGTTCAGGACCAAAAACACAAAAGCAAATGCAAGAAAAACAAAGATAGATGGGACTTAATTAAATTAAAAAGCTTCTATACAGCAAAAGAAATAATCAGCATAGTACACAGAAAACCCACAGAGTGAGAGAAAATATTTGCAAACTATGCATCTGACAGAGGACTAATATCCAGAATCTACAAGGAACTCAAAGAAATCAGCAAGAAAAAAGCAAATAAGCACATCAAAAAATGGGCTAAGGACATGAATAGACAATTCTCAAAAGAAGATATACCAATGGCCAATGAACATGAAAAAATGCTCAGCATCACTATCAGGGAAATGCAAATCAAAACCACAATGCAATATCACCTTACTCCTGTAAGAATGGCCATAATTTAAAAATAAAAAAATAATAGGTGTTGGCATGGATATGGTGAAAAGGAAACACTTTTACCCTTCTGGTGGGAATGTAAACTAATATAGCCACTATGGAAAGCAGTACAGAGGTTCTTTAAAGAACTAAAAGTAGATCTACCATTTGATCCAGCGATCCCACTACTGATGGCAGTGGCAGACTGTCTGAAGTGGCTGCTGCCATGAAGCTGGCCCTGGGCGCCTGCCTCTGGGAGCCACTGCAATGGGGCTAGGCCCAGCTGCCCACCGGTGGGGTAGTAGCATGGTCAGGCAGGGAGGGGTGAGCAGAGAGAGGCCCCAAGGTGGAGCTGGGCCAGTGGTGGTTCTGCACTTGCATGGGGCTAGGGTCTGAACTTGGAGCAGTGGCCGTGCTTCAGGGGCCAGGATGGGAAGTGGGAGTGGTGCCCGCTTCCAGGACTCAGCTAGCTATGTGGCCACTGCATCCACCCTGCCCACAGCGCCACGCTCCTGCACCTTGCAAGAGTCTAAGCAAAGGGCCCCCAGAGGCCGTGTCCCTAGGATTTTCCCCGAGTTAGAGTGACTGCTGAGCCTAGTGCTCCCAACAGCCGAGACTGGGGCCCTAGTCCACTCTTGGAGGTTCCCCCTGGCAGGGTTACAAGCCAGGAGAGGGGGTACCCCAAGCCGTCCCTGAGCCTTGGGGCCACAGGAGGAACTTGCAGCAAAGTCACCCCTGCCCCAGATACCTGCTGGGGCCCGACAAGGGCTGGAGACCCCAACCCAGGATGCAAGGAGGTAGACAGGGCAGCAGGAATTGGCTGCAGGTGCAGCAGTGGCAGCAGTGGGTCCCCTGTGCCCTGTGTCCCTGGGATAGCTGACTGTGCCACCCTCACCCTCACACAGCTGGCAGGACCTGCTCCCAGGCCCAGAGCCTCTATCACAGCCTGGACTTCTCTCCCCACTGTGTCCTGGGAACCCACAAGCACCTCGCCAAAGGTGCAGCTGAGACCCACAGAACTGGCCCCAGAGTGTCCAGTTCCTTTGTGTGAGGTTGGCTGGAGCACTGTGCCATCTGCACCTCACCCACAACTGCTGCAGGAGATGCAGAGAAGGGGTGTGGCCAGGGCCTCCAAACTCTGCAGAGCCAGGGACAAACAGGAGTCCCGCCTCTCCCAAGTTGGCAGGAGAGGAGCTCTCCAGGTGCAACTGTAGATGCCCAGATGACAACTGTAGGCCTGGGCCTCCCAGTACTCTTGAGGGCCCAGGAGGCCACCCTCCCCTTGCCACAGTAGGCTCAGGGGGTGTCTGCTTCCACTGCCTGGCCTCTTCCTGCTCCCAGCATTTGCTCCAATCTTGGAGTGGGGTTGGGGCTGAGCCCAGATGTGATTGCAGCCCAGCTGAGTGTGCACATGCTTGGGGCAGAGCTGACACACCAGCCCCCTGTCGCCTGTGCCCCTCTGGACTTTGGGTGCTGATGAGCATAGGAGGGAGGTCAAGAATGGGCTGGGGGCAGCTCAGCGCTGGCCTGCAAGTGTCTCTTGGGGCAAGGGGCCTCGGCACCATGGGCGGTGGGGGAAGGCAGACAGGCTTCTGGGTGGGAAGAAACAGTCTCTGGTGAGGCACCACCTTCAGGCAAGGGAGGGCTTGAAGGCTGGGGACTGGGCTGCCAATCCTATGGACCAGAGTGAGAACTTGTAATGCCTTTTCAAGGCCTCCTGATGGTTGCCCATGGACCAGTCAGCACACAGTTCCTCCCCTCTGAGCCCAATAAAAGCTCTGAACTCAGTCAGACTTGGAGAGAACATCCTGGATGACCAGCAGCAGAGAGGAGCTTCACACTCCAGGGACTACTTCCCAGCAGAGAGAAGCCAGCCACACCAGGGCCTCCTCCTCTGTGCTGAGGGCTGAACACTCATCTGGACACCCTGGCTACAGAAAGGAGCTACCCACGGTGGGTCTCTGAGCTGGTCTTCTGCTCAGAATATCTCCTCTTCATCTTTCTCACCCTGCACTTGTCTGCATGCCTCATTCTTCCTGGTGGCAGGATAAGAACTCAGGATCCACCGAATGGCGAGGCTAAAAGAGCTGTAACACATGCCCCTTGCTTGCTGCATTGTGGGTGAAGAGAAGGAGAGAGGGGTCGCATTTCTTTGTGGAGTCCAGTCCTGGGAGCTCCCCGAGCCAGGGCTGTGACTCCCTTTTGGAGGCCCTGTGGTTCCTGGCATCTTGAAGCTTCCAGGTGCCACCACATTCCCTGTTGCCAGCCATGGAAGCTGCTTGAAGGGTGCCTGGTCCAGACACAGCCTCACAGAGAGCCAGCCAACACCTGGAGTTGCCTGCCCTTATGCAACGGCAGGCATGTCTGCCTGTGTGCATTGGCTGTACCCCATGCTTGCTTACATACCTCTCCCAGCTCCATGCCTGACTTGCACTTGGTAGGTGTGGGATCCAGGCTGGTAGCCTGAGCCAAGCGCAGTCTGCCAGGCCAAGTGGGTGGAAGGATCCCAGCAGGCCCGAGCAAAACTCAGGCAAAACTAGACCACAGAGATTTCTGGTAAGAAAAAGCAACACCTCAAGGATTTCATAACATTACTGGGTATCTACCTAGAGGAAAAGAAGCCATTATATTAAAAAGACACTTGCACATGCATGTTTGTGTGTGTGTGTACATATGTACACATCCTATAGAATACTACTCAGTTATAAAAGGAGTGAAATAATGACATTCATAGCAACCTGGATGGAGTTGGAGACCATTATTCTAAGTGAAGTAACTCGGGAACGGAAAATCAAACATCATATATTCTCACTTATAAGTTGGAGCTAAGCTATGAGGATGCAAAGGCATAAGAATGATACAATGGGCCTTGGGGACTGAGGGAAGTGTGGAAGGGAGTAAGGAATAAAAGATTACACACTGGGTACAGTGTACAGGGCTCTAGTGATGAGTTCACCAAAATCTCAAAAGTTACCACTAAAAAAAATGATACATGTAAACAAACACCACCTGTTACCCCAAAACTATTGAAATAATAATTTTTTAAAAAGGCTGAGGATTTGACATACTTAAGTTTTGGTACTTCATTCCCACCTAGGGTTCTGGAGTTGATGGAACACGCAACATTTGTCACTGGACAGATGAGATTGAGAGCACTTTATTAGTCACATTTACTAATAGCCTGGTGGGGATGGGCAGGCATCCCACATCACACAGGGCCACATGGGGGATGTGCTCAGAAACAGAGGGAACAGCCAGTGGCTCTGGAGGATGGGCTGTCCCCTGCTTCCAGAAAGAGAGTGTGATTGGCTTGTTTGAAGAATTCCATGGCTGGGAGGGAAATGAAATCAGCTATTCAAAAATAAGCAGAACTTGCAAGCAGTCCTCTTGATCAAGAAGCGTTGGTAGGAAACCTTACCTGCCGCAGCAGAGCGGGGGGAGGACTTGTAGATTAGGCAGTTCTGTACCCTCCCAGTGTCACCAGATGTCCAGGCTGCACATAATATTGAACTGTAATTGTAGTCCTCATGGCACTTTTCCCTTGAACAAGGGGCTCAGTCACAGACCGGCTCTTTGTCATGAATACACATGTACTTACAATACAGTGTATGTGTATTGTTCTCTATATTTGCTCTATAAATTCTATTGGTTATTAGTGACTAGGATTTGCCCCACAACACGTGGATGGTAACCTTCCCGAATGAAATTAACCCTGGCTAAAGGTCTCACGTATTGAGACTGGTGAGAAATGTAGAATTGGTTGATTTACCATTCTTTTTGGAGAACATAGCCCCAGCTCTTTTATGGGCCCAGGAAATGAAGGTAGCGCATCCATCTTCAACACTGTATGGTTGCTGTTACCACTGTCCCTGGTCATTAGAAATGACATCTTCACATCTTACAATCCAAGTTAGCTGAGTCATGGGGGAATCTTCTGCCAGGCTCCCAGAGCCAAAGAGCTCTGTGCTCCCCAGGGCCCCCCAGTCATCTGCACCCATGGTCCTTTCCCCTCAGGGATAGGCACACAGCCCTCCAGTCACAGAACCTACAGTCCAGGAACCCCTAACTAGGCCGTCTCTTCAATTCATGGGGAACTTATGGCCAAGAATGTGGGAAGTGATGACATCTCAGAAGCTTATTCCATCATATGTAATTCTCCTTTTCACCAGTTGACTTGTGGTATAGGCAAATGGATTTAATACTTTATTTCAACTCCTGGTTTTATCTGCAGCATAATACAATTACTCAGATTCCTAAAAATCATCCTCTTGCTTTGTTGCTAGTCTTTTTGTGTTATAATCTCTGGTTTTATAAGGAAAACCTTTCAATTCTGACACATGCCCCTTCCTCCTGAACTTCACTACAGACTAGGATTTGTTCTGAAATCTCCATGCCGTGATTTTCACACATATCCCAATGAGAAGCATATGCCTGTCCACGCAGGTTCACCCAAAGGCAGTGCCCAGAGGGGTGGCCTTCCTGAATCTGTCACAGGTGGCAGATCCCTGTGACGTGGACACTGTTTTACCTTCTAGATGAGAAACTTGGACGAGTGTGAGGTTTGCCGGGACGGAGGGGAGCTGTTCTGTTGTGACACTTGTTCAAGAGTCTTCCATGAGGACTGCCACGTCGCGCCTGTGGAAACTGAGAAGTGAGTGACATGCAGGCGCCTCTCTTTCATCCTTTAAGGGACCCTTCCACCTGCCATGCGCTCTCCCCAGCAGAGTGCCTGCTTGTGTTTAGCTGGGGAAGGAGCAGGTTCCTTGGGTACTGGGACCCAGCAGTGTGATCCAGAGAGCAGTGGGAGACGCTGGCAGCAGGAGGTTAATGTTCTCTGTGCTCTCAGGGACGCCTCCTCTGATATGCTGAGGCCAGAGTTAGGGACCCTTTGCCTATATACTGGTATTGTCCTTTCCTTCAAGTTTTGCAGCAAGGTCTCCTGTCCAAAGGGGCTTGGGGACTATATTTTGTGCTTATTCATACAAGACAGGAAGCATGATCTCATTGGGCCGGTGGAGGGCGAAGATCCCTGGAGCTGAAAATCCAATTTCTGAAACTCAGGCCTGGTAAGCAGGGCTCCTTGTGCTTCCAGCAGCTTAGACAGAGAAAGGAGAGCCACACTCACAGTGACACCACCTTCCTCAGGCTTCCTGCCTGCTGCTACCAATGACGCAAGAGAAAGGCCAATGGCTGGAGACCTCATGTGCAGTTCTTGTATACTCTGAGAGGTGTTCCCCTCCCTCTCATGGCTCAGGCCATCGGCCATTCCTGATGGCGGACAGTGGCAGCCACAGGGCATTTCCAGGGTCCCTGCCTTCTGCTCACCTAACTTCAATCTCTCAGGACCCCGTGGAGTTGCATCTTCTGCAGGATGAAGGAGTCTTCAGGAAGCCAGCAGTGCTGTCAGGAATCTGAGGTCCTGGAGAGGCAGATGTGTCCTGAGGAACAGTCGGTGAGTCAGATGCAATGCCCACACCTTCTCCTTTCCCCTCACACGTGAAAGCATGAAAAAGCACAGGGTCAGAGGAATGCACCAGAAGTGTGCTCTTCAGAACCACACTTCAACTGCACTGATAGGCCACTACAACTTGTTTGCAGAAAAAATAACTCAGCCATGTCATGTCTGTTTCCAAGAGCCACACGCATTAGAGAAACTTGTGGAAGAAGTGTGTGAGTCATGTGCTCTGTCTGGACAAGCCTGTGGGCTCACTGTCTCCATGCTGCTTTTCATTTATGGCTCTTTCTTTTGCAGAAATGTGAATTCCTCCTCTTGAAAGTCTATTGCTGTTCTGAGAGCTCCTTTTTTGCCAAGATTCCATATTATTATTATGTAAGTAACAACAGCAACCCATGATTACAGGCTGCCATGACATTGCCTGAAATGGGTCCTTGTGAGATTTGTGATCTTAATCCCGTGGAGCAAGAGCACATGCTGTCGTTAGTTACCTTCACTTTGTTGTATTTCTGCTGGATTTTATGGGAAGCCACAGAAGGTAGAGATTGAACTGTGCTGGTAGCCTTCCCACTGGTATTTTTGTCACCAGATTAGAGAGGCATGTCAAGGCCTGAAGGAGCCCATGTGGTTGGATAAAATCAAGAAGAGGCTGAATGAGCACAGTTATTCCCAAGTGGAGGGGTTTGTACGTGACATGCGCCTCATCTTCCAGAATCACAGGGCATCTTACAAGGTAGGTGGCTCTTCCTGCTTCTGTTTGGTTTCTTTCCATTCTTCCCCTCATTTTCTGGTGCCTGGAAAATTTTAATTTCCCTCATCCTGTAATAAGCTTGCACAAGCAAGGGTTCTGAAAGTGAGTGATTTTTTTCAGTTCAGGTCTTAGCTCATCATAGCAAAGTAACAGTGAGTCAAAAGGTGTTCCTGCAACCAGAGCTCCAGGTTCCTGAGAGCTCATCCCCCACCTGCCCCAAGGTGACAGGAGCTCAGAGAGAGCAATTGAGTCCTGTCTGCTGCAGCATATAAAGAGAAGAATTTCATCTTATAGTGGTATTGTGCTTCTTATCTTCCCCTAACCTCAGGAATCCCAAACTCCAGATTTCTTTGCATGTGACTAGACCATATGGTTAACTGGGATTGCCGGCAAGGAGTAGAAGTGACAGAGAAATGAAGAAATCAGTGATCTTACCTTATACCCTTCCACTATCTGAATTGGTGAAAGAGCATAGATTACTTTTCTAACCCACTGAAATAAGCAACAGAAGCCAAATAAGTAATGATCCCAACTATGCAAATGACTTCACTTTTCTGCCCTGTTAGTAAGAATCATGCTGGTAAAAAACAGAAGTTACTCTTAGCTGCATGAGTTTTCAAGTTTAACCTGGTTAATGTAACTTAGCGTGTTTAAGACAAGAGTCCTATACTTAACAATAGTGTATTTTACACTTCAACATTATTAAGAGAGTAAATTTCAAATGTTCTCACCATAAAAAAATAACTATTTGAGGTGATGGATATGTTAATTAGTTTGATATGATTATTCCACATAGCAGTCATAAATCACGTTACTTTATACTCCAAAATATATACCATTATAAATTGTCAACTTACAGTACTTTATTTTTTAAAGACAAGAGTCCTGATCATTCTCAGTTGAAAGGTGTCTAACGACACTAATCATGAGGAACTTTGTTTTTGTCTTTATTATTTTTTTTCAGTACAAGGATTTTGGCCAAATGGGACTTAGACTGGAGGCTGAATTTGAGAAGAATTTGAAGGAAGTGTTTGCTATTCGGGAAACAAATGGGATTAATTAATTGGTTTAGTGGATGCCGAAGGCGTTCAGCAAATAGTACCCCAAAATATGCCACTTACTTCAAACTGAGGGCACTCGGACACAGCACATGCAGTGAGGGGCTTTTCTCTGAGCCTCCCTCATCTGCCCAAAGACGAATCATCCAAAAGAAATTCAATCATCATGAATCCCATCACCAACAATCTCATCAGCCAGGGAAGGGTAACTGGGACCACAGGGAAGGAGGTGGGAGGTGACACCAGCGCAGACAGACTGTCACCTCTTCTCCTGAGGGCTGCTCCAGACATTTATTACTCACAAGACCTTTTATCTGAAAAACCAGCCAAGCTTTATTCAGGACACACTTCTTTCCTTCCCCCTCCCACTTGTCTGGCCACCTCCCTGCAGAAGCCCCAGGCCCCCATTCTTTTCGATAGCTCAGGATGGTGTATGCGTGTCAATCATCTGACCCTTCTTGGAGTCTTGTATTTCATGGGACTCCTATGTATACATATATAATTAAAATTATTTTCCCTCCTGTTATTATGCTTATGTCAATTTAATTCATTCGTAGCTCAGCCAAAGAACCAAACAGGGTAGAGGGAAACCATTTTTCACTCCCCTGCAAAGCTGTTGGTATCCTGGCACCATGTCCTCTTCTGGCCAGGCCTTTCCATCCACAGCTGATGAGTGGTGGCTGCCAATGCCAGCAGTCCCTAGAGTATTACCCTGGGTCTAATGGAACCAGCTTCACCTGGAGGTGACACCCTGTGGCCTGAGGCCGCCCCCCTTGCCCCACATCAGGACCAAGGATGTGGTGTGTGGCTACTCTGTGCTCCCAGGAATCAGGCTAGAGCTAATCTACAGCTGTGGCCACATCCGGGCTTATGTGTGCTTATGGGCTTGATAAGCGAGAAATGCTGACTATTCTGAGTGACGTGTTAAGCCACAGACACTGCAGGTGGTAAGAGAGAAATGTTACAAAGATTCAGAGATGTGCCTTGTAGGTAAGCTTTCAGGGGTTCAATGGTCTGGAGTATGTCAGAGCATCCCCTCCAAAGATCCAAGCTATTGCAGCTCATACCTCCTACCACTAAGGAACCCAGAGCTTGGTGGGCCTCCCCAGGTTACGAGAATCACCATGGTTGACATTCTGATGCAAGTGATTCTAGGCTTCGTAATGTGGTTGTGTGTTTGGGAGGCAGGGAGTAGGGAGGCAGTGGGCATACCATCTTAATGAATAAAAATGCTAATCGATTTTTTTCACTTAATAATATCCAATGGACATTGTCACTTCAATAAATACAGCTCTGCATCATCCATGCTATAGCTTTCATTTTTTCATCAAAACTGAATTGTTATTGGCTAGCATTTTTGGTCTTGTAAGCAATACTAACTTGTACTGAGAGGCAGCACAGGCTAGCATTTAAGAGCACAGACTGAATGTAGCTCATATAGGTAGAAGCCTAGCTCCTGAATATGTCTACTTGCTGGCACTATGTGCTTGGCTAAGTTATTTATCCTTCTTCTGCACTGTTTCATCTGTAATATGGAGATAACACTCTAGATTATTGTGAGGATTAACAAGTTAATATTTATTATTCACTTAGAAAGTGTCTGGCCCTGCATGCAATACATAAGTAACAAACAAATCTAAGATTAACACAAACACCTTGGTATCAATTTAGGCTCTTCGCCATCAAGAGAGACCCAGTTTATCTAGGTTAGACAAAAAGGGACTTTGATGATGAAATACACAGTGCCTCACAGAAAGAGCTGGAAGGCAGGGATACTGAGCTGGCAAATAGCCCTGGAAAAAGGCAGGAATCAGAGTGGTTCCAGGACTTGAGCACCAGGAATGATGCAGCCTTGTCGTCAAGGATGTTACTAATTTTACCATCAGTGTCTGGCTGGCCTGACCTGCTCAAGAGCCAGCATTGTGATTAACAGCCCCTCACTCCTGTGGGAGCCCAGCTGGGTTCCTACCCTGGGGGGGGTGTACCATGTCCCTGGGAGCTGCCAGGACCTGGTGCTCTCATTATCCTGATCTGGGAGGTCTTGGGCTCTCGGTAATGACCTCTCAGCTGGAATCTACCATGGTGAGTTCTGGGCGTCAGCATACACCCTGCTGTGCGGAGCTGGGAGAAGCTTCTCTATCCCTAAGGCACAAAAACTCACATTCTACAAACCCCTTCAGGTATTTTATTCTCACATTCTACAAGATAACGCTCAGCCATAAGGAACTCACCTTCATCTCATCTTCTCACATGCAAGCCTTACATTCAACTCTCCTTCAACTCTCTGTCTCTCTTCATAAGTGCTCTCCACCTAACCCCGCCACTATTTTACTTTCAACACCAATTATGAAACCAAACCAACACTCATGCTCTAATCTAATTAAAGTTCTCTCACCATGTTTCACTACCTTACTTCCACTCACATAAAGGGAGCCCCAGATTGGTTTATAGATGGCAACGCATCAAAAAACCTTCCCCACTAAGCGGGATATGCCATCTTTGAAAAATATAATTACACCCACTCTCTGACACCTAGAAAAGTCATAAAGACTGCCCCCTTGCCTTTGGGCTCATCTGCACAACAAGCAAAATTAGTTGCCCTAATAAGAGTGCTAACCCTAGCAAAAAACACACAAGTTAGTATACACACCAATTCCAAATATGCCTATAACATCATCCATTTCAGCGCCCAAATTTAGAATAAGCAGGGCTATCTCACTGCTAAGGGAACCCCTATCATTAATGGAAAACTCATCCATCACCTATTAAAGGAAGCTCTACTTCCAAAAAAGGTTACAGTTATCCATTGCAAAAAACATCAAACAAAAGCCACATTTCTTTAGGGAACCAAAAGGCTGACTATTGGGCAAAACATGCCTCAACCAATCACTCAACTCCCCAATACTTATTTCTCCTCATACATCATATTCCTTCCTCTTATCCAGAATATCAAATATAGCAACTAATCATGGCAGGAGCACAATTCAAACCCCCATACCAGTTCTTACAAAACAAATTATTCCTGCCTGACTCTGAAATAAAACCTCATCTACAGGACATTCACAGTGTCTTCCACACTAGCTATTCCCCTCTACAACATTTCTTAAGTTCCCATATACGTGTAACCCCAGATATAAAGAAACAGTTGAAAGCCATTTCCCACCAATGCTCTATTTGCCAAAAAGCCTCACCTTACTCCAACACTAGACCCCCTTCTTTCCCAACCCATCAAGTTAGAGGATACCTTCCAGAACAGGATTGGCAAATTAATTTTACCCACATGCACCTAGTAAAAAAAGTTCAATTTCTTTTATTTCTGGTTACTACCTTTTCAGGATGGGTCAAGGCTTTTCCCACAACCAACAAATAAGCTTTTACTGTCACCTCCAAATTAGTGACAGATATCCCCAGTTCAAGGTGCCTCTTCCTTTTCAATCTAACAATGGTCCTAAATTCATTTCTCAAATTACTCAAACACTTGTGCAAGCCCTACAAATTACCTGAAAGCTACACATCCCCTGTCAATCTCAATCTTCAGGAACAGTTAAAAAAAAAAATGAATGGAATTCTAAAGAACACCCTCACCAGGTACTCACTTCAAACACATAAAGACTGGGTTACACTTTTGCCTTTGGCCCTTCTAAAAATTTGGGCACTCCCATGTAAACCTTTAATGCTCAGCCCCCTTAAACTCATGTATGGGAAACCGTTCGGCCCTTTTGCTCCACCTCAGGGTCAAGCCCCACCTCTACCAACCCCTCTCATTTCCCCTCTCCTACATACAACCCACCATTTCATTTAGGAATATGCTGACAAATACCTGCCACAACCAGTCATGACTTCTCTAATCCTTTCCTACAGCCAGGAGGCTGGGTTCGGTAAAAAATCTGAATCCTACCCCCAAGTTCCCCCCCTCACACCTAAATGGAAGGGACCTTACCAGATCATTCTTACTCCACCCACAGCAGCAAAACTCTAGGGATTCCCTAACTGGTTTCATTCTACTTTTCTCAAGAAAACAGACTTCCCTTCACCACATGCCCACACAACCAAATCTAAAACCCCTTCAGCCTTCTCTTATGTCTCCACAGGACGCACTTTCCTTTGCCTCGCCCAAATCCCGGAGGAAAAGGAGGAAAAATCCACATAAGCCATTGCTTCCCAACCAACTTTGTTACAGACCTTCAGTGGAACCCGTATGAAGCTCCCATTATACATCCTGATTGCTCCTTACTATTCTATGGGACCTGTGGCTTCAAGGAACTTTCCAGGACTTTACTCCTACCCAAATAACTTTTTTCTTTTTTTGCTTGTTTCTTTCAATATAAATTCCCTAATCATATCAACCTCACCAATACAACCACTCCTCACTGCTCTCAAACTAAAACGCTCTATAAACCCTACGCAATCCCTCTTGCTTCAAGCTAACTCTTCCTTTGTTCCAGAATGCTGAACGTGCGAAACACTGTCTTCCTTAGCTTACACAGCCCTTCCTACACCCCATCGTGACCTTTTAATGGGAAACATAATACTAATTTATAAATTCCAAAAAGGAGCTTCCTTTTTAAAAATGCTGACACCCCAGTTAGCGATTATCCCACTTCCGGGGCTAATCAAGCCAACAAATTATTTCAAACCTATTACAACTCCCTACAATGCCTCAGGCCCCAAGGCCCTCCCATTAAAAGGCACATAACTAAATACAATCCCTTTTACAACAAGCCTCACTTTGCTTTTCAGCCTCTAAGGGAAATTTCCCTGCAGGGTCCTTAACATCTAACCTATGCAACCCTATCATTGTTAAACACCCCTCTGACCATCAAACTAACCAGGTTAATTACCAGCTATCACCTGAAGCAAACAGAGCATTTCTGCAAACAGCTCGTTTTACAGCCTCTCCCTCAATCAACATTCCAAGCCTGACTTGTGCCGCCCCTGATGCCCTCCCACTTTTTTCCATGGCTCAGTATCAGTGGTAAAACATCTGATCGCATTAAATATGTAAAAAAATAACTCTTCCTATATCTCTACTATAGAGAGTGTCTCCCTGGCCTCCTCCTTATCCACCTGGAGTAACAAACCACAGAAAAAAAAAAACACCCATCTTTAATTCACTTATTTTTTTCCCATATCTCCACCTGTATTCATAACAAAGGCTTATTCTTTTTGTTAGGCACCAACACGTATCTTCGTCTCCCCACCAACGGAACTGTAACCTAAATCCTAGTTTATTTTTCTCCCTCCATTGGACTAGTTCCTCCTAATCAATCTTTACCTGTTCCATCTGCCCAATGTGTTAAATAAAGAAGGGCCATTGAAGTCATTCCTTTAATGGTACCCTAGGTATAACCTCCAGGCTTGAACTGGAAACAGGCAGGTTGACCACCTCCTTAACATACTTTAAAGCTCTTTCCACAAAACTACAGAGTTCATTAAAAAGTATGGCTTAAAGCCTTATAAAAGTCCAAGACCAACTAGATTCCTTGGCTGGAGTGGTTCTCCAAAATAGATGGCGATTAAATCTTA